TACATATAACCGCGTATCAAACTCGTCTTATGTAGGTATCTGTAATCCATATGCAACACCACCTTCAAGGATTATGAAACATGGTTTAAAAGATGACAAAAATTTTGTCAGACTCGTGCCCTTGAAATTTTCTATACTGCACAACACGACCACCAAAAATCGAATCGAGTTCAATGGTTTTGATAGCAGCAGATCCAACTTCATCCTCCAGCTCCAGAGGTTCCTCATCGAAAATCGGCGGACCATCGTACCATGGTCCGTCGTCTTGCTCTCTGTCGAATTCGGAAATGTCCACGCGAAACGGGCCCTCCATCGATGGTCACCGCCACATCCACGCCGTTGGTCGTCATCTTCCTCAAAAACTGCGTCTTTGTGCCACACATCTTGGCCATTGTGCGCGACAATAAGCCCAACCTCGACGTGCAGAGGTTGATAATCGCTGAAAAAGTTCACCTTCGAGATTGTCTTCACGCCGTCTTTGTTGTCGGACGGTGGCTGTGGAGATCCTCGGCGGGGCACCCCGCCTGAACCACGGCCATCACGTTCTAAGCGAACTCCCTCGCGCAAGCCTCGATTTCCAACGTCACGGTACGTTTGCTCGTCCCAAACCATGGTATGGAGAGTTCGACATATGTCCCCAATCTTCACGGACAGATCTGCAATCCGACGACCCATCGTCTTGAGCAGACGGTCAAATCCCTCGGTCTGGCGGCTCTAGATGTAGATGGCGGCGACACGTCTGTCGTTTGCTGCATCTTGTCTTCACGAAAGCATCGTGAGTCGTGTTGACCTCTGATACCAATTGATGTAGGGAAACGTACGAATGAGAAGAATAAACGAGATACTCTCTCAGTAAAACTCATACAACTCAATCAATTATTATTATCAATTCACCAAGTGACAATAAACAAAGAGAGTCATTTATATAAGTCTCTCAAAACTAAAAACACCTAATAAGTAAATATTCTCTTTCCAACTAGAAATAACAAAATAAATAAATGATAATAAAAGACTAGATATAATTAATAAAGCTAAAAATAGAGACGGTCATATTTATCTATAAACGTAATTGCGGTCTCGTCTCTCTCAGTAATTCACAAGGCCACAATAAAAAAAATATGTATATATTTGAAAGGCAAATTAGCAAATCGTTCATTACACCCGCAGTTTAACTACCTTCCAAACATCGCATTCACAGGACCATCTTCACAAAATTTGCTCTCGGCCTTCAAGATATTTTGTCAGCTTACACGGGCCAAAATTCGTGTTTTAAAAAATGCGAATACTGTAATAATATTCAAAAGTATAGATTTAGTGTATAATAAATAAAGTTGTGTTTTTTTGCTTAAATATATATAAGATACATACATAGTAGATACTGATGTGACACGTTTTTTGCGCTTGTTTTCATTTATTTATTATGATATGATATATATTCAATGTTTTCCATGCTGTTTTATAGTATTATTTTCGCTCTACGCTATTAAGCAAACAAAATTATCAAAAAAAAACTCATCATTATCTAATCTATTACTATAAAATAGAGTTAAGGAAAAATAAATTTTTAGTAAGTATTTTCCCTCCAAAACATTTCGAAAATGTCCTTTTTGGGTAACTTTTTTCAATTTTTTTCGTATATCCCGCCTAAATGAATTATTTGATTTTTAATGTGATTTATGGAATTTGGATTAAGATTAAACTTCCTTTTTTTTCGCCTATTATTACTCCTTTTCTTCAGGCTTATATTTGTTACCTTTTTTTGAAATATTTTTGAATGCTATTTCCACTATATATATATATTGCACATAATAATTGTATTCAAAATAAAACATCACGATAAAAAATTAGATTGGATTACTATGAAAATAACATTTAATTAAAATAATTACGATAGATCTAAATATGAAATTTGATATTAAAATGAACTTAAACTTATTCGATTTTTAAATCACTTATAAAAGATAATAATTTATTGTGAAGATAAGATATGCTAACCAATTAAATTTAATTACAGGTCTTTAAACAAAATATAATTAATGATTCTAATAGCATACATTCCATGACACTAACAATCATGGTATTATAAAAAATTAGTTAATTTGTAATTTCACAATAACTTTATACAAAATATAAAGTAAAAAAATAATATATAGTATCTTCAGCTATTGTATATTTATATGGTATCTTGAATAGATGATATTAACAAACGATTGTAGATATTAAGTGAGTGGAAAAACTTATATATAAATACTTAATTTACAAAAATCAATTTTATGTAGTTGAAAATAATAGAAAATTCATCCCAAGATTCATGTATATCTAAGATTTCTTTATATATTATTTTAATTTATTTTAAAATATAACAAAAATATATTTATTTGTTATACATTTCATGTTAAATTGGTAAGTTTTAGTCTTATTTGCAAAAAAAAAA